GGAATGGGCCGGTTGTTCTGTTCTGGTGCACTAATAGTAAGGCCATGAGAGCTATTATTTTCTGAGTGGGCATTCCTGTAATATTTCAGTGCAGCAATCTCAGAACCACTGTGGAGTTTTAGCTGGATCAGCAGTCTCCAAACTGTGGCTCATTTAGATTGCAGAAGTACCGAGACGGGTTTTAAGAAATAAAATCATATTATTTTGAAGGGCCTGTGAGATTAATGTGCAATACCTAACAACATATATCCTTCTTCTGGAGCTGACATCAAACCTCACTGATTATATTTCTCTGTACCAACATAACCGCCCAGGCAGTCAATACACGACATATGAGAATTGCAGTTTTTTTTCTAACCACATCTGCAGTCCTTTTAATGTTGTCATGACCTTCAAGTCAGAATAGTACAATAGGAAAATTTATAATTTCTTTCTAATGTCTGTGAAATCTGTAATTGTTTTAAGAAAAATTGAAAAAACTTTTAAGAGTTGTAAAAGGGATCAATTACAATTTTGTTGGATAATAAATTCTGATCTGTGTGACCCACTGCTCCTTAACATGGAAGTAATTTCAACAGGAAAGAACTTTAAAGAAAACTGTGAAGCTGGCAGACACAAAGGAGGGCTAGTGAGGCAAAGGAAAGCAACAAGCAAACGAGTTGGAGATTGAAGGCAATCGACACGTACCTGCAGAGATAAAAATAAATCTGACAGATAGAAACCAGAGTAGAGAAAATTCTTGAAGAAGCAGCAAGTCACGTTCTGGAAAACTAATCTTTTCTGTTTGACAGAAAAGGAAGCAGAAGCTAGATAAAAAGGTCTAAAAATCTGCAAAGCTGTGTGTGTAGCTTGGAGACATTGAACAACTAGATGCTTTCCTGAAAGAGGTCAAACCATGAAGTGAGATGTTAAGTTGGAGTTACATGTTTAGGACTGTCATGACCTGAGGGACAGAAGGTTGGTACCTAGATAATGATATTTGTACCTGTGAAAGCTGTAGTCAGATAGGATTCTTGGCCTACCCTGCATGTAGAAAGAATTGCATGTTTGTAGAAATGTATAGCAAAACAGAGCCAGAATGGAGTAGAGAGTAATGTGAATGCTTGAGTTTGCGTAAGCTGTACCTTTTTTGTATCGACTGTTTAAAGTGAAATTTATTTATTTGAAGTACCATTTGCTTGTTAACACATGCTTAATATGCACTGATTTGGATTTGTGTTCAAATAAAGGCTGCAAAATGTGAAATCTTGCACTTATTCCTCCGTATCCATGAGGGTTCCATTCCTGAGAACCCCGCAAACGATGAAATTCACTACAGCAGAGCTTGTTTAAAATTAAGTTAAAATAGGGTAAAAATAGTGGATATGCAAGTTAGGCCCGCAGATGCTGAATTTTGTTGTTCCTTGCTTTTTAGCACAGATGGGCAAATTCGCAATTTGTAATTTCAAAGATACTTTATTTAGGGGTTGTTTGATCTATTATTTTCATTCAAGATTTTCTCACAGGGATCACATAATGACTTTCAAAAGCCACACCTACTCAACTGACGTAAGCAAGACTTGTACAGAAAATGAACATGGCGACTTGAAACCATGGTGGGCCATTCGGCCGCTCGAGCTTGCTCTGCCAGTTAATAAGATCACAGTTCATCTGTTTGTGTTTCAAATTCCATGCTAACATGAATTCATCTATCTGTGTTTAAAATACTCAAATCACTCTGCCTCCACATCTTCTGAGGCAGAGTCCCGAAGCCACACAATCCCACGAGAAAAAAAACTCATCTCTGTCCTAAAAGAACAATTTTTAATTTTAAACCAGTGCCCACACAAGAGGAAAAACCATTTCCACTTACACTTGTCAAGACTATTCAGCATCTTCAATATCACACACTCCAATCAAGTGACATTTCACTTATTCTAAACTCCAGTGAAAACAAGACTAGCCTGTCTAACCTTTCCTCATAAGACATTCCAGGTATCAATCAGATAAACGTTCTCTTAACTGACACCAATGCATTTGCATTCTTCATTAAATAAGCAGACTAAAAGTGCACACAGTATTCAAGATGTGGTCTCACCAAAGCCCTTTATAACTAAAGCGTTACATTCCTTATCTGTTCAATTTCTTCTGTGATAAATGATAGCATTCATTACCCTTCTTAATTACTTGGTGTACTGGCATATTAATGTTTTCTGCCTCATAAACTAGAACACCTTGATTCCTCTGTACCTTGGAACTCTGCATTCATTCTCCATTTAAGCGATACTTTGCTTTTTTATTCTTCCTGCCAAAGTGAACAGTTTCATATTTCCCTACATTTTGCTCCATTTAAAGACTTTTGCCCACTGACTTAAATTATCTATGTCAGTCTGTAACCTCCTCGTGTCCCCTTCTGCTTAAGTGACAACTGCAACTACACTCAAGGAATACATAGAGAAATCAGCATCAAAAGAAGTACCAATTCTTAATAATAAAATACTGAAAGTTATTATGCTGCGTTATTGTAATTTTTTTTTGTTGGCATATGGGGTTGTTAATTTTTGGGATTTACACAAAGATACCATTTCACCTCTTGTGCAAATCAAGAGCAAACGGCCATTCACAGGTGAAAACAGAAAGTACTTCTTTCACACAATGAGTACTGAAGTGGAAACTGAGAACTGATTACCCCAAAAGGCTGCATGATTTTATGACCAGGACAGCTTCCAAGACTGAGATAGATTGGGTTAGGGTATCATCACCTTAATCACCTACTCCCATACCTTTTTCCCATCTCTCTGTGATAATTTGCAGCAAGGGACAAAAATCATGGGTATAGTTTGATTTACTTTCAATTTAATCAAGTTTTACATTGCATAATCAAAGGTAAACTTATGCTTCCCAAAGGAGAAACTTCTTTGTTGAAGTGAACCCTATAAGCCTTATGCCACCAGAGATGCTTCTGACCCCTACCAAACTTGCTGCTTGGTTATCCACATGCCGTAGACAGACTCACACCCCCACCTCTGCTGGCATGGTGCACCAGGCTAGAGATAGTATTTTTCAGTAGGTGATTGTGGGATCTGATGCATTGTGAGGAAGGCAATAGTTGCTGAACTGGTTGAAGAAAATAATGCTGGCCAAATCACTGGGTTTTCTGAACGGAGACTAGATGTATGATGGCAGATTTACATCAGGACCCTGCAGGAGTCCTGGGGTAGAGATCTACCTGCATGTTGCCTGGGCAATTTAAACTTCCAATTGGCAATTCCCCTGCTCTTCAGGGTCCAGTGCAAATGTCTCCAATTCCAAATTAGAGTTGGAGACTTGAAACAGATTTGTGGTATACAGTGCTGTGCATTTCTGTGAAAGTCATGATAAGAGGTAAGGCACAACCACATCAGGCCAGGTGAACCAGAAAGTGCAGTGGCACTCTGCATACCAGTGCTGTTGCTCCTACGATCTAAGCTCATATTTTCCTTCTGAAAAAAAAAAATCAAATTGCAACAACTGGAAATTGCATGAGTACATTCCAATTTTATGATTTAAGTCCTGAAATCATCTATGCTGTCAACAGGCAGCATGGATCTGACATGGGAAAATAGTGCTAATAGTCCAAAAGCTAACAAGGGCTTTGCTTTCTACATAGAATCATGGAACTTGACAGTACAGAAAGAGGCCATTAGATCCACTGTATCTGTACTGGCTCCCAAAAGGGATACCCAGCTAGTCCCATCTTCACAGCCCTCTAAATTCTTCACCTTCAAATATATATTAGGCTGTGTTTCAAAACCTCTTATGGAATCCACCTTCACCACTCTCCTAGACATTCCAAATAAAGAAGTTTCTCACTCCTAGGTCTCTTGCTGACATACTTGAAATTGTGACTCCTAGTTACTGACATATCAACTAGTGGAAACAGAATGTCATTATTTATCCTGTCAAAACTGTTCATAATTTTGAACATCTAACAACATCAACTCTTAATCTTCCCTGCTCCAAAAAGAATAAGGCCAATTTCCCGAATCTTTTCTTGTATCTAAAATCCCTCATTCCTGGTATAATTTTTGTAAATCTCCTTTGCGATATCTCCAAGGCCTTAAAATGCTTTCTTAAATGAGGTGCCGAGACTGAGCACAATGCTCCAAATGTGGTCAGACCAACAATTGTAGAGGTGTAAATATTACTTTAACTTTTGTACGCTCTGCCTCTATTCATAAATCCAAGGATCCTTCTTAAAACAGCCTTCTTAACAATTTCATCTTGCCTGGCCACCTGCAAAGAATTATGCACTTGAATCCCAAAGTCCCTTTGCTCCTGCATTCCCCTCAAAGTTAAACCATTGAGCCTATATTGTCATTCCGAGTTTCTTTCACCAAAGTGCATTACCCCATATTTCCCTGCATTGAAATTCATCTGCCAGGTGTCTGTCCATTTGGCCAACATCTTCAATGGTATGTCATAAAAAAGGCAGGAAAGGGGAGGTGGAGATGATCAGATTAGGCATGATCTCATTGAATGGTGGAGTAGATTTGATAGACCGAATGGCCTATTTCTGCTCCTACATCTTATCAAGGGCTGGGGGGAAGAAATACAGGAAAGTAGGTTTGAGGATTATCAGAACAGCCAGGGCCTCACTGGATAGTGGAGCAGACTTCTGCTCCTATGTTTTGCAGTGTTTCATATATGCATCTGATCTCTGAAAATGAGAAGAAAACATGGGCCTAAATGAGAGCATTTCTCATCTTTTTCACCACAGATCCACCAAAACAATTTTAAAGTAAGCTTGGAATAAGAGGAATAAGAAGAGGCTAAAATGAACAACTAAGGTTTTGCTTTGCAAACACGAGCAAATTTGACATAGAAATTTGAAATGCTTTGATCACAAATAGTAACTGATTCACAATCAAATGTGGTCAAGTTTGATTATGTCAAAACAAACATATAACTACTTGCTTTCAGGGATCTGCTTTAAGTGTAGAAGATATCAGACCAATAATATATTAGATAATAAAATATACCTGTTCCAACCAGACATCAGAATCTTCATCTGAAGCCCAAAGAATCATTGTTTTATCCATGGATGCAGACAACAAGGACAAGGGTTGTTCAAGTCTACCATCTTTAGGAAAAACAAGTACATATCAGTGGAGAACATACAATGGCCAAGTTCATAAGGGATAATGTCAATCTGTCCAAGAGATAAGGCAGAATTTCAGTTTCATTCATTCAAAGATGTCACTCCTGACTGCAACATTCCCAAAGTGTTACCCTGAAGAGTCAAGCCTGTGCTCAAATTTGTGGTCTCCCCACCTCAAAAAGATAATAAACATTCTTCAACTTCTAGAACATTGCAAACAATAATTTTATACTTTCTAACATACGCCATACTAACAATACTTTGCAAAGTAATTGTAAGATACGCACACAAAGTTAAGATTGGGTATCTATCCATTTTCCAAAGAGTACAATACAAATTTCTTCGAGGTTAACATAACTTTTAAGTACCGATGAAGAATTATCAATCCAAAACATTCACTGTATTTTTCACTCCACAGTTACTAGCTGACCTGCTGAGTCTTTCCAACAGCGCAGTTTCATTTCAGTAGTTTGCTTTTGTAACTTTAAGTGGGTTAGATAAGTCACAGTGTCGGGAAAAAAAAAAGCACATAATGAACAAAATAGAGAACCAACAAGAAAATAATTCAAGTTCACAAATAAATTTCACGCATCCATCTCGTGGACAAACTATTCCAGGAGCTGGACAAACTGTTCCAGGAGCTGGGCATACATTTACCAAAATGTAAGAGTTAACAAGATCATGAAAGCCCCAGTTTTGTGCCTCCACTTGTGATACTATTTACCTTTAGTTAACTAAAATTACTCAAAAGGCTTCCTAAGTCAACCTTGAAATGCCAAGTGACATCCCCTCATGCACTTGATATATAAAACATTCACCATGTTAAAACCAGCAAAAATAAAGCTATGTAGGACTACATAACAGTATGCATTAGCCTCGAGTTTTAGTCCAGTTGCATAACTCCACACACATTAAATATTTACACTGCATGAAGTATTCAGAAAAAGAATCCACTCAGCTAAGAATTAGAGCACATGCTTATTTTGCAGCAGCAATGTATCTGACTTCAGTCACAATCAGCATTCTAACAATTCAGAACATGATAAACAGAAAGCATACAGCAATGGGTTTCTTGTGTCACAAACTCACTGGTCAAGATTTGGTAGTCAGTAATAAATAAAGAGCAGCGGCCCTTCTTTATTTTTACAATTCTACAAAAGTATAAATGTTGTACTTGTATGAGAATTCAAAAAGAAAACAGCCCAGCACCTTTACAAGGCATCAAACACTTGTGTAAACAGGGCAAGCAATGATGGATCGCTAATCAGGTTAAAGAATCTTTACCAAGACAAGCAGCATCTATGCCAGGAAATGCAAATCATGTTCAGAAATCGAAACAGAGAAATATGGAAGCAACAAAGATGAAACAGAAAAAGTTGAGTTTTTTTTTAAATCGTCACTTAAAATTTGATGGAATGAGACTCCACACTTATAAATGTTAGCTTAGCAATAATGAAAACTTAAAATTTAAGAATGGACAAGTCCAGACTTCTTTCATGTTTCAATTGATACAATAAATACACACCCTACTATATCTTTAAATACCGAGTCTTTCAGAGAGCGTCTGAAATGAATAATATTATGAATAAAACATAATCCACCTTTGGCAGGTTCAAAGCAACTCAAGCAGCAACTTGCTCACTTTTATGTTTCATTGCAATGTATGGATCCTTGAAGCTGCTGTCTGATTTACCGTTTATAACAACAATTACAGACAAAAAGCTCCATGTCAATTTCTGTATATTTCAAGAACAAATCAACAGCAAAACAAATGTGAGGAACTCAAAAAAACTTGTCCATTCACTGCTCACATGCTGCAGAATTATGCACAAAAGTGATGTTGGTACCTCGAGCTACTACATTCTGTTTCATTTTAAACAGCAATTAGCGACTCTTGTTTAATGATTGTTTGAAAATGTGCAATTCCTCTGCTTATCAGATTCAGCTTATAGCAAGTCCTTTAAAATTCTTCAAATCTGCCTTTGTCAGAAGAAATTGAAATCTACAAACTAAATCCAGTCCCTGTGTGAAGCAATCTTCGATGCATCAATGCTTTTATGACTGCAATGTGAATCTTGCACATCATCTCAAATGTGGTTTTACTAATGAGCCATACAAGATTACAATTGCACATTACTGTGTAGAGTCTTATGAATAATATTGTACGGCATCAGTTTTGACTCAGTGATACCATTTTTGTTTTCAAATCAAAAGATTGTAGAGTTGAGATTCATTCCAGATTTAAACTACAGCACAATATAATACACTTTTGAATACGGATCAAATACATTTGGCTTGTAGTCTCTTGAATGTAAACAATTCAGGGGTGATCTTTTTGAGAAGTTTAAAACTGCATAGCAATTCAATGAGGTGAATACACAGAAAGCACTTCCTCCTCCATTGAGAGAATACAGAAATAAAGTGACACAATCTTAAAATTGTAGATCATTCAGGAATTGCATCAGGAAGTGGCTATTCAGAAAGTAGTGGACATTAGGAACTCTGCCTCTCAAAACAATGTCAAGATGGGATCAAGTGAAATTTTCAAGACTGACATGGATAAATTTGTGCTAAGTTACGATATCAAGGACAATGGATCAAAATCATTTAAAATGGAAAATTGTGGCCATATAGTGTCCACACGTGAAGCAGTCAAAGCTTCAAACTCCATCCATTTCTCTCTCCTTCTGTATAACCTTTCATGAAAGCTAATTATTGAACAACAGGCTGTAAGCCTGAATTTTGCAGTCAGTAATAAAAATTGGTATTGCCGTTCACCTCACTGACAACTGCCCGCAAGGTTTTTGTCAGCTTTAGAGCAGCTTGTTTGGAAGAAAATTGTTTTGAGTGCATTTGAAAGAAAATGGACTAGTCAGTGACAGGCAGCATTGTTTTGTACAGGGAAGGTCACGCCTCACCAATCTGAGGGGAAAAAGTTTAAGGAAGATATGTGTGGAAAGTTCTTTACGCAGAGGGTGGTGGGTGCCTGGAATGCATTGCCAGCGGAGGTGGTAGAGGCAGGCACGATAGCGTCATTTAAGATGTATCTAGACAGATTACGTGAATGGGCAGGGAGCAGAGGGATACAGATCCTTGGAAAATAGGCGACAGGTTTAGATAGAGGATCTGGATCGGCGCAGGCTTGGTGGGCCGAAGGGCCTGTTCCTGTGCTGTAATTTTCTTTGTTCTTTGAATGAATTTTTTCAAGAGGTGACAAAGACAATTGATGAGGGAAGGGCTGTGGATGTAGTTTATATGGACCTCAGTAAGGCATTTGATAAAGTCCCACATGGCAGACAAAGATTAAAACTGCATAGGTCCAGCTAGACGGATACAAAACCAGCTTGGTCATGGAAAACAGAAGTTAGCGATGGAAGGGTGTTATTCGAATCGGTAACCATTGGCGTTCCACAGGGATCAGTCTTAGGTCCTCTGTTGCTTGTAGTATATATAAATGATCTGGAGGAAAATGTGGGTGGTCTGATTAGTAAGTTTGCAGATGACATGAAGATTGGTGGAGTTGCTGATAGTGCCAACGATTGTGAAAGGATACAACAGGATATAAATAGTTTCACGACTTGGGGATAAAAATGGCAGATGGAATTTAATCTAGACAAATGCAAGGCAATGTATTTTCGCAGATCAAATTTAGATGTGAATTATACTCTAAATGGCAGAACCCTTAGGAACATTAACATACAGATGGATCTGGGCGAGCAGGTCCACAGTTCCCTAAAAGTGGCAACACAGGTAGCCAAGGTGATTAAGAAAGCATATGGCATGCTTGCCTTCATTGGCTGGGGCAAGTGTTGACAAACCATGTTGCAGCTATATAAAAGCCTTATTGGGCCATATTTGGAGTATTGTGTGTAGTTTTGGTCACCACATTACCAGAAGGACGTGGAAGCTTTGGACAGAGCACAGAGAAGGTTGCCCAGTCTCGAGGGCATTAGCTATGAGGAAAGACTAAAAAAACTGGGACTGTTTTCACTGAAAAGATGGTGGCTGAGAGGAGACCTGACAGACATCTACAAAATTATGACAGGCATAGATAGGGTGGATAATCAGAGGCTTTTTCTTGGGTTGAAGTTTCAATTACAAGGGGTACAGTTTAAGGGAGATGTGCGAGGGCATCTGGATGGTTGCGTGAATAGGGAGGGAATTGAGGGATATGGACTGAATAAGGGCAGAAGGTTTGTTTTTTAGCTTAGTTAGGGCATGATGCTCAGCACAGGCTTGGGGGGCCAAAGGGCCTGTTCCTGCACTGTACTTCTCTTTTGATCTGTTTTTGTTCTTGCTCTAATCTATTGCCTGAACCAGCAAAATGCCCTTCACAGGAGACATTTGGTTCTGCAGGCAGTCCTGGAATCAGTGAGGCTGATGAAACAATCAGATCGAAGATTTCTCATCAACCTATGCAAAGCCTAAACTGGACGTTATAAATTAGAAATGAAACATATGCAGAAGTCAAATAAGGATTCAGAACTAAAATAGGATTAAAGGGCAAAGATAAAAAAGAAGTTTTTTATTTAAAAGTATCAAATGCTAAATATATTTTGAAGGGAAAACGTTGAAAGGTTAATTTGTCAGGATCAAGGAGTTCCCCAATAATGATCACCTATAGTATTAAAAACTCATTTGCTCAGTTCTAATTTTTTTCCAGCTGTTTCTAAGGTTTAGAAAGGAGGCATGTCACTGAACTTATTTTGTTGCAGAGTCTACTAGCAAGTACTGGAACAATGCACCACATGGGGCAATAGTGTATCTCAGACAGCAATGTTTGGATTTTTACGTTTAACTACGCAGAAGTAGATGGCAGTGATTCTGTCCTTGATAGAGTGCCACAGGACTAACAGATGGACACCCATTACATCTAGATTTAAGAAACGGAAATAGAATTTGGTGAGGCCCAAGTGACCTGTCAGTTTAACATTTACAGGAATTTAGTTATTTTTCAAACTATCAAAGGGGAAACAGAATAAGATCCAGAAAGAAGATATAAAATAATTAACATGGATTGCAAAAGAAAAAGTCTCACTTTTCCAACTTCGATTAAGTACTAACTCACAGTGTATTCAAGGGGAATTCTGTAGATTTAATATATTTATATTTCCAAAAGGGATTCAACGCATATAATGAGAGCATGTGGAATCCTGGGAACATCTGCAGAAAGGATAGCTAGGAACTCATCTAGATTAGAGGTAAAGCATCACTTTTCAGAGTTGCACAGGGATTATTGTTTCAATCTTTGCTGTTGACAATTTACTTTAACAATTTAGACTTGGAATTTAAAAAGTTCTAAGCTTACTTGGCACAAAACAAAGGAATAATGCAACAGATATCGTGACAACATTATTATACTTGAAAAATGGGTGTACAACTGAATTGTAACATGCATAATTGTGAAGTACTCCATTTTGAACAAGTAAGTTCATATATGATCTGAAAATAAAAATTTAAATCAGGTAGGGAAGCGAAGATATCTGAGCAGTACAAATGTGCAAATCACTAGAAGTAGCAATGCATGCTAATAAAGGCATAACAAAAGCAAAGCAAGCATTAAAGCCCAGGTTGAAAAAGGATTTCAAAGCGAAGTGTTTAATAGTAGAGATTTTTAAAATTCAGTGCTGGGGTGTGGGCATCACTGGTTAGGACAGTATTTATTGGCCATTTCTAATTGCCCAGTGTGCTGTTAAGAGTCAACGACATTGCTGAGATTCTGCAGTCACATATCAGCCAGACCAACTAAGGACAACAGTTTTCTCCTTAACGGACATTAGTGAACCAGGTGGGTTTTTTTCTAACAATCAACGGTAGTTTCTTAATTCTAGATTTTTATTAAATTCAAATTTCACCATCTGCCATGCTGGAATTTGAACCTGGGTCTTCAGAACATTACCTAGGTTTTTGGATTAATAGTCCAGTGATAATACTATTACGTCATCACCTCCTTGATATTTGATGAATTCAGTGTACTGAGGGTTGAGGTGTTGTTCTTATATTTTTAAAGAACAAGGAGTGATTTAAGGCAGGGAGCCAGAGATATCCAGGTCTGAGAGTTGAAGCCTGGAAGCGTTGATCACAGATGTGGAAAGGTGATTGCTCGAGTTGTTTGGCATTTTAATCCCAAAATTGGGACTCTAAATTCTAAAATTGCTCTCATTCATTCACAACATGTTACCTTTCTGAAAAGGGGGCTGCCAATGCACTCCATACACCCAGTTCTCGTGACCAGCTAACACAGTTTCCAATGTTACCGCATATGTCACCAATCCCTCTAAGACAAAAGAAAAAAAAACTGTGGTGTCAAACATGTTAATTATTTAGTTCAAGGGAACAAGTACATTGGTGCACTAGCATTTGATTTGTAGATATCTGCATAAAATTAACAATCAGAATAAATGTAAAATATTTTCCATTTTAAACATTTGCCTTTTGCATGTGCAGTCTGCACTGATAAGACGTTTACAACTACTTTTTGAAAAGGTTTTTATTCATACACAAAAATATAATTGCAAAATCAATGATTGCATTGATTATGCTGAATACATCAGCTACACTGCTGACCTAGTCTCTCTTAATGTTTAGAAAATCTGCTGAAATTTGGATGAAAGACCTTGCTTCATTATAATAGAGAACTGTCTTACAGTACGTCGCAGCGCTCTGCCCTGTACTTTGTTCAGCCAGTACCAGGAAAGTGGCAGATCATCACAGCAAGAACAAAATACATACTTCAAAAAGTGTCCAGAGAAACAGTACAAGATCACTTACTGCATATTAACAAAGTAAGCAGGTAGTGTAAATTACAAAATTAAACATGAATTGAATTTTAAACAAACACGTTAAATTAATGAGAAGTTTAAAATTTTTTGTATGTAGTAAGTTGAACTGTTAATTTAGGAATAATGTGTCAGCAAATACTTCTAAGACAAACACAGAAATCAGACATCAGCCTAAATCTTACCAGAAATCAGCGAAGGGTCATTCCGCCGAGTTTCATAGACTGTTTCTGTCTGTGAAGACCTGCACACTTTCTCCCGCTATCATCCCAAACTCATTTCTTTCATGAAGTACCACATCTCTGTAGCACCCCGTTCATCCGATACTAGGTGATTGTCTCATTTGATTTAGTACCCTAATACCTTCCACTGCCGAGGCATTCCCAGATTCCTGGTGACTGCGCCATCTTTAAAAGGCAGCTATGCACACGTCAAGCACTGGTTGTCCAGAGTCGCACAGCATGGATCATGTAATTTGCCCTATACATGATATATAAAGGGCAATTGGCATCCCACTTTCGGGCCAGGTGGACAGGATGGTGTAGAGTTCAGTCATCCTCTTCCACCCAACACTGGCAGATTCTGGCAGCCTGGTTTGAGGTTGCCAGCCAGATCAGTGTGGTCTCAAGTGTGTGGAGAAAACACCCAGCAACGTCAGAAGATAGTCAATGATCTTTTTCTGCTTTACCATGGTAAGCGGCATCATCTCTCTGCTACCTCATATTCTATGCCTATGACTGCATCCACATCCTACCATGGCTCATGCTCTTTCACTCTCACTGTCGCATGCAACATCTCACCTCAGTCACTCTCACCCACCTAATTCCTCCAGACAACTAAGCCTACATGGCCTCTACACCTCTTACTCACTCACTTATGCAGGACACCTCACCACCTTTCCCTCACCTGCACCAGCATAAACTGCTGTGCCAGCAACTTTAATGGCACTCAATCCCTCCCTTTGTCTCATTCCAGGACAAACTAGCTCAACATTGGGGAAGGAAGAGCCAAGATGGGTGTCGAGATGCCCAACATTTGATTCCTCACTCTCCCTACAAGAAAAAGATACTTACCCTAAGTGCCCCAAACAGCTGAATGACTATATTCAAGTCTGTAGACTGAAAAAGGAGGCTGCCTGTCACTTACTGTGCCAGGACTCCTGCTTGAAGGGTGTCTCCTTTGACTTGGTTGAGGACTGGCTCCTCTTAGACTTTAAGGCATGGCCTTTTGGCTAAAACACATGTAATGCATGTGGCACATCCATGGCTAGCACACATTGCAGGTGTGAGACTGATGTAGTTCAGTGCTGGACAGCTAAAGGCCCATATCCTTGACTAATTACTGCTGATAAAAATGACAATCTGCTTGGCTTTGCATTAAAAGGACAGGCAAGACAGAAGTACTGAGGGCCTATTAGCTCTGTTTGAAAGGCAACATGGAAAAAGTCAAGGCAAGGATGCCATGAGCATCGCAGCAAGCACAAAGTGTGCAAGTACTATGAAAGCAAGTGAGCAGCCTTGATGTGAGTGCCCATCTTTATGTGCAGTGTTCTGGCAGCAGCAATGCAATGAGAGGTGACAGTATGCTCCAAAGTACAGCAATGAAGAGCAGAAGCATGTTCATGTTGGATGCCAATGTCCATGGACGTAGGATGCGTGCGGTCAAGCAGTGTGCCTGGAAATGCCGTTGCCAGGTGTCCAAGATCGAGATGAAGAGAACAACAGCCAGAAGTTGTCTGGGAACCACTCTGATTTTCATGTCAGGAATTCTCAGTGTCTAATTTCTATCTAGCAGGTGACAGAATGAGAACTGCATACTAATGAGGTGAAATTTGGTATAATGAGTGTAATAATGAGCAGTAATCAATGCAAATTGAATCTCAGCTTGCCATTCAATACTTGGTACCAGTATTCCAGTAACTGAAGCTCCAAAGATTAGATATTTCATTCACACCAGGGAAAATTGCTTGGAAGAGTTGCTGCCATCACAGATAGCACTAAAACAAATGCTATGAAATAATGTTTGAAGAATCTTACAACCCCAATATGCAACTATATCTCTTTCTTGATGAGAAGAAAGAAGTAGTAACTGTTCAAAGCTTTTCCAAAACAGACAACTACTTCACCTCAGCTCAAAACTTTCTGCAATTCATTCCCATTAGCTTTAGAGAAACTGTGCTGACATCCACTGGATAAAGAAGTTAACTTATATAAATTAGAGTGAAATGTAATCAGTTTAGGTAATGTTCAGACACATCTGAAATTCTGACAAACAACTTCATGTTCTTATTCTGGAAAAACATTATTTTCAAATTTGCACCAGCTTTTAAGACTTACTATCACTCTGAACATGAAATATGTCCTCCTTCAATTTAATTATGTCTCCATCGCAAAGCTTGGAAGTAGATTCTGTCATTATAAATATTCGCCATATGCGTATCAAGCAGTCTTGTGAACAGCTTGCTAATAAAAGATTTCCATCTATTGGAGTACAAAATAAAAATGGTTCATAATTACTGATTGAATTTCAAGAGCTCAAAAGAGAAAGAACTTTCATGTTACACTAAGAAAAATTACCCTTCATACTTTGAATTAAGTATGTAACAACTTAAAGATGTTTTACCTCAGTAACATCAAATTAATGCAAATTCACATTCTATTAAGAACAAACTGTGTGACAGTTGCTGTGATTCATAAGTTTTCGAAATAACAAGTTTCAGTATATTGTACAACTACTGAGCTTACCACATAGAGCCCATTCAACTCCTCGAATCCAGTCTTCATGGCCCATAAGGCTAAGAATTTTCTGAAACTGCAACAAATAATTTTTGCACTACACCACTGATCAATTATCCCAGTATATTCAAATATACAACATAGTCAATATACAGCTGTCAACTATTTTACACAGACAGCACATCATTCCGCCCCTGGGCAGAATATTATGAGCTTTTCTCCATCCTTCCATGGAGAACGTTCTGACCAACACATTGAAATTTTAAAAGAATAAACCTCTTGTGATAAAGGTGTATAATACATTATTATCATTTTAGGTATTTGAATTTTTAAAATAGAAGTAGACGGATTCTGATTTCAGATTTGTGAAGGTCATTTTTTAAGAAGTCAAAGTCATTTGGAAAAGTGACCTAAATACAATATTGCAAACAAAGCATATGATTTAGTAAACATTTAGACAAATACTTGTGGGGTTAACCAATGAACACTGAAACTGCAGTGTTAACATCTAACAGACACAGAAACTTTGAGATCTAAATGCTGCAATTAGCACACGTGACAATCAAAATGGTGACAAATGTGTCTAAACAGAATGAATTTACATATACATGGCTGATGGCACTACAATCTGCGTGTAATAACACCATTTGGGCTGCTCATGTGCAGATGACCCTACTGAGGCAAAATTTCAGGAGGCTGCAGTAAAGCTCCAGCAGCAGTAGCAGCAGTCACAAACTGTTCGGCCAGGCAGCTCTTTACAATGAGAGGGAGAGATGGTTCAATTTGGATTGGGGAGGGGGGAGGTGTAGGAGAATGCAAGCGATGACAGA